CACTTAACTGTTTCCTTTTCCTGCCATATTGTGACCAAAAATAAGCATATATTTTATAAACAATTTTATGTTCTAATCAAATGCAGGAATTCAAATCAGCAGTCAAAAGTCTCACAAGTATTGCATCTATTAATTTAAGATAATTTTTAATTACTGCAAAATTGAAGCATTTTTACTCTGACGAATCTGCATAACCGTAAAGAACACTTTACAGCAGATAAATGTTAGGGGGGAATATGTATTTTTTAAATACTTACATTTTTATTTCTTTTTAAAATTCAGCTTTGGTATGATATATTTTTAAGCATGAAGATAAGCAGAGTCCAATGTCACAATCGAGACAAAAATATCTGGTTTCTTTTCTGACACATTTTCTGCTATCATTGCTTTGTGAACAACACACAAAGCACTGCCTCATTGGTCTCAATTTCTTTTCAGCAGGAGCAATTACTTCTAAAAAGTGTTTTTCAGTCAAACATCAGGGATTCGGGAAAACTCCTGGCCATCTTTCTTTTCGCTAACCATTCACGTCTTTCGATCGAGCGATCAATTAAAATCCAAATGGGAGTATTTTCCCCCATGTTTCTGGTACAAAACAAAAGCATTCCTCAGTGATATATCGAAAAGATGAAAGAACCTTTGGTAAGATGTAGATGGCAGCCCAAGACAAACCAGTCCATATATTTTAACCATGTTTAGTTTGTAAAGACCCTCATTTTTCAAAGAAATCTTCCAGATTTTTTTTAGTATATAAAAGGAATTGTTTGAAAAGAAATTTCTATATTATTTTCTGGGCTATATGCTAATCTCTTTATTCTATATTAGTTTTAAATTTTTACCTTGAAATCTTGCCTAAAATCAAACAGTGAACATCTGGTGTGTCCACAGTGGGCTCACTGAGAGACTAGGACAAGACCAAAACCTGTATCCTTATTTCTCTGCAGAAAGGTGGGTCCACATCTGTGTTTAATTTCCTGTTTTTCTCTTTTTTTGGGGGGGGAGGTTTGGTTATCAACTAAGAAGTTGTCGGGTTGATTTTCTGAAGGTCAGGGGTAATTTTATCAGTTAGCTGTCTGGTTTTTCACTAGAGCAGTTCTCTTTTGCTTTCGTTCAAAGAAGTTTTGTTAACACTATATTTAATAGTTTTGAGTTGTAGATGTTTATAATTTTATAGTATAGTTTATAATTTCAGATTGTAGATATAATATTAGTTTATTTATTTATTTATTTATTTTTAATTATTTCCCAAATGGTGCCCATTTTTGAAGCACTGAAAGTGCTACACTTTCAGATAGTGAATCTGATACAGATTCCGGTACATGTGCGAAACATGCAGTATTGGGTTATGCTTTTTCAAAGGTGGTGTCACTTTCGAAAAGTATCACCATGGAAAAAATAGAAGGTGTAAATAAGAAATGTAAATATCATATACCCAAGTTACTTTTTTCCATTCATACGCATGTAATCATCATGTAACCAAGAAGAGCTTTTTTGGGGAGGGTAGAGTAGCAGGCCTCCTAATGGCACACCCTAGGCTAAATCTGCTACGGTATTCAGAATTTAGTGTTTTTTAATCGTAGGCAAAATAAAATCTCTTACTCTTTTACACGCTTCCAGCACTCTATTTGAAGCTGTATTAATTCAGTGTGCCCGCTTTGGGCACACCCACAGAATTAAAACGATAAGTGCTATCTTCACAAAATTTTACCTGTATTTCCTCTAGGCCTGATTAGACTGCCTGCCTTTTTTTTTTTTCCTCCCGAAATTCCAACTTTAAAAGGTAGCTTGCCGGAAAGGGTTAAAGCTATTAAGTTGACAAACGGTTATTAGCTGATATGTTATAAAATATTTGGTGTAGCATTTTCTTGTATTTAACAAGATGCTGCAGGTTAAAATAAATTGTCTAATTTATGTACAAGTAGATATGATTTGTCATTTTATTGTAATACAGATGTTAGATTTTTTAGAGGGAAGATATTCTGATACTGGAGTTATGTAGAGAGACTGAGTTGAATGAATATACATAAAGCCACTGGTTTAAAGAGTGTACACATTTTATGCACAGTAAACTCGAACAATATCTAAACTGATACAATTTTCAATATAAATGTTACTATCATTGAACTGTGCATATGTTAGTTATTAATGACTTTTTGAAAGGCGTGTTTTCTGATAAATTACAGACTAAATCAGTAATATAAGAGAGACTGGAAAATGTTTCTTTACGTTAAATTAAAACAAATTTTGTACAAGTTTTTATTTTTAATCAGTGATTTAAATCACCATTGTCTTCAACAACCTTTTGCCATTTAGTGTGCAAATTTCCATTGCTGGATCAAAAATATCAAAAGGTTTTCAAGCAAAATATCTAGAGATGGCATTTTAGATGTCTTTCAAATTTTTATCACATAGAAAGCATTTTAATGGTTGAAATAAATTGTGCAATGTTAGGCGAGGTTGATTTGCAGTGTGGTCTATTGATAGTTGCTGAATACTTTTTAATTAAATATTGATATACTCGATCCAGCTGTTTGCTGTAAAGGTCTACATTCACAATTTGTCCAAATGTCAGCACTTCAAAATGAACGATTCCATGAATACTCTACCAAACATATATAAAATGTACCTGGCAGGAATATAAACCTGGCTTCATGGTGTTTCATTCAGCGAGAGCTGCTGCCTTTTGCATTATCACAGAGGACCCATTTTTCATATTCAGTGATAAGCAATCAAAAAAACGATTCTGTATAGTGTTGCAATAAGTTGTATGTGATGAATTGGTTAGCTTTGTTTTCTTCATACAGATTATGTGAAACTGAAACACCTGTCCTGCTTGCTGACTGTACTAGTCTGCTGCAAATGTTCTTGGATGATTGACCCAGGTTGGTTAAGAATGTTTGACAGTTCCTGGATTATCTAACACAGATTTGTTTCCACTTATGTACTTTGTCTGAAGTCTGTCATTATCTAAATTTGTTGGTCTTCTTGATCGATACGAGTCTGAAAAATCAAAATTACTGGATCTAAACTTGAAAAACCACCTTGACATTTACATATGTATAATGCACTAGATAAACATCACAGATGTTTTTGGTAGCAATTATTCCGTTAGAACCTCGCAAAAATCTTAAAAGCATACAGTGCTGGATATGTACCTTTTTTTTCTAGTACTCGGCTGACTTTCTCACCCAAAATTGGGGGAAAGAATTAAGATTTCGTTATTTACAAGTAAACAAATCACTTTAACCTTAAAATTTCTTTGGCATGACTACCAGTATACAGTGAACTGATAAATGGTACACAAATATTGACATGTGCAAAAACATTATTTTCTACCATTCCTGTTATACAACAAAAGTGCAGTATAAAGGCATTGGCATATTAATTCAGTTAAGTCATCTACTGCAAACATTTGTGAAATATTTGTCATAACATATCAGGAGACTATTCTTTCGCTAGAGCATGCAAGCTATAAAATGTTTGAGAAAAAGGATGGACCTTGATGTTTCAGCTTAAAATTTGGAGTAATTGGAATTACAGATAAGTTGCAAAAGATTTGTATATTCTTGTTGGAAATGCTGACATTATTTTTTCTGAATATTTGTATATGATTGCAAGTAGGAGGGATTGATATAGACTTTAAAGCAGAAAGCAAATCTGTGTGTATCGATGCCAGTTCTGAAAATTAAGAGTGTTTAAACAAAAGGTATATGAAATCATTTATAAAACTGATGGAACATTTCTTTGCAACTATTATCCAGATAACAAGATAGGAAAGCCTCATATAAAACTAGTTTATATTCAGAAGCCACCCCCTAAAAAAAACAGGAAGAGCTGGGGAGTGTATCGGAAAAGTTATGGCAGTCAGTTCATTTTATTACTGAGAAATGATATATCCTTTGGCTGCACTCTGTGTAATCACCCTCATTTGAAGAAAATACCTGTATCTCCCCCCCCCAAAAAAAAACTGTTGCAAGAATAGAATGGGTAATAAGAAACAATAAAACTTTCCAAATCCTCTTAGATATTTGGATTTAGTTTACTGTTTCTTCATTTTCTCAAATCTCGAAAAGAAGCTGTGTACCTGAATTTAGGTCAAAACTGATGATATAATTCTGAAAGATATGTAAAATTATGCCTTTTTGTTCATTTTTGATAGTTTCAGTTCCTTTAAAGAGGATTATTTTGAAAAAGACCTCTCTGAAATTAAGTTCATATCAGTAGGTTATAAAAAAAAAAACTCGCAGGCCTTTCAAGAGTCAGTATATATTGTTAACAGTCAGTGCAATCAAATTTTAAATAATGAATTTTTTGTATGCTTCTTCCATTTAATATTACTATTAATTTATTTCATAATGCAGTTTGAGCAAAAGGAAAGTTGCATATATTTTATGTTGTGTATATTTTTTCAAATATATGCAGGTGTCTTAAATTCAGTACAGTAATAAATAGCACCTTATAATAGCACTTAAGATTCAAAACCTTTTTTAATTCTGCAGCATGAATTTTGATTTTAGATTTGATTTTATTGTGTAGCATTTGAATATAAGCTAAAAGAGTAGTAAGAAGGGCATGAAGTGACCTTGAAGTACTAACCTTGAAATCCACATTTTTAATTTATTTTGTTAGATGTGTGTAAACATACACAAATATTGACATGTCAAAAAACATTATTTTCTACCATCCCTGTTATATAACAAAAGTGCAGTATAAGGGCATTGGCATATTAATTCAGTTAAGTCATCTACTGCAAACATTTGCGAAATATTAGTCAAAACGTAGCAGGAGACTATTCTTTCGCTAGAACATGCAAGCTATAAAATGTTTGAGAAAAAGGATGGACCTTGATGTTTCAGCCTAAAATTTGGAATAATTGGAATAACAGATAAGTTGCAAAAAATTTGTATATTGTTGTTGGAAATGCTGACATTATTTTTTTCTGAATATTTGTATCATTTTAAATAAATATCTAGTGTTTTGACAGTTTACAATTTGTTTAGGGATGGTCAACTCAAAAGAATGAAAGTCAAGCAAGAATGGATTGAAATGCAGCAGAAAGAATATTGCAAGCGACTAAAACTTGAATAAAAATTATCCATGTGTTCAAAATTTATTAACTAGTCTTCGTGAACCACCTGCATTTATGTTTGTAAATGCCATCCACTCCATTTTCTGTAAAAGCTGTTTGTATACTGTCTTTTAAAATTTGTATGTGTTTTTGTGTTTACTGTCATATGTGTGTTTGTTATAGATTCAATTTTTATATCAGTTACATGGAAACTAAATAAAATCTTCCATACCAATTGTGCAGTTTAAATACTGTTTCCCCCCCATGTAACAAAACCTCAGCATGGAATAAGCAATTTATATTAAATTATTATAGTATACTCTTGCTCCAAACAGGGAAAGCAGGTCTCAGATAATTGAAAAACATGGATAATCCTAACTATAAATTTCAAATGTTTTTGAGAGCATTTAAATATTTATTGAATTTCATCGAGTATTTTTCAAAGTGTTGTTTTATCATTTTATTTGAATCCTCTTTAGTTGATAAAGCTTCAGTAGAATCAAAAGATAGTATATCTTCTTCATTTGTTTATTTTCAATATCATTTTCTTTCTCTTTTGTTCTCATGACATTTAAAACACTATCTCACATCACATGGAAATTGCATTTCAACATTGAAAGCCTAGCTCGGTCGAAATCACTATCTAACCATTCCTCGACATTTTCAATTTTCTGGCAAGCAGTTTCAGTTATTGCCTTGAATTCTTCACAACTTAATAATTTCTGATTTCTATATTAGGAAAAATCTTCAGGATTGAACCAGTTTTATTGGTTTTCCTACTCTATATATGGCTTCCAGTATAATCTTTTTCCTGAATTTCATTAAATGATTACCTTTCTCAGAAAGAATTATGTCTGAATTAAACTGGTAACAGTAAAAATTTAGCTATCATTAAACTGTCCCTTTTTTTTTAATGATCTCATTTAGACAAAAAGGTAATAACAAGGGTGCTATTTATAATATAATAATAAATAACAGTACCACTTTTTAAAAAAAGTCTTCAGAAGCCAATTTAGTCCTGAACTAATCTTTGAATATCTCTGTTCATCCATGCTCCTTTTTGATCATAAAAGGGTTACCACTCAAACAGGAGAATGAAATTCCCAGGTGTTGAGAAAATTCCAGTATGTGCGCATTGGCTGTGCTGAGAGGTAAATTAATTATGGTACCATTTGAAAACACAAAAATTTGCCAAATGCATATCATTATATATAATATATAATCCCCAAAGCATTACTATTATAACTATAATAGGAACTTTTTCCACTGAAGATTGAGATTCGAATCTGCCCAATCGGGATTAAAAAATGTACTTTGCAGCTAAACGAAAGAAAGAAATTAATATTTTTAAATAAATTCAGGTGTTTTATATTTATTTAGCAGCATACATAAGCAAAAAATATGTGCATTAAATTTTGTGATAATATATCATCACACTGCTAGAATTAATTTCAGGATTATGCCAGAGAAGATTGCCTGAAATTTAAATGTGTTATAACTAATAATAAATTACTTTAGGGGGAAGAAACAACATTAAAATGAATTACTTAAAAATTGAATTACAGTAATCAACGAATTTTTTTTTTTTGCGATTATTATAGTTATTATTAAATGGCTAGCCTAGATCAGTGGTTCCCAAAGTGGTCCGTGAAAAATTAAAATTGATTTAACCCCTGAATAATGTCAGCGGGTCCACACAAGGTTTAATATAAAATAAAATTGCGATCGATTTTTATTATGGAAGTTTAAAGTAGTAGCAGTTTTTACGTCCTGAGTAAATTATAAATATAGGTAGGTGCCTAAAATACAGTATGTTACTTAAGTACTGAGCGTTATGTAATACCTTTTGTGAGCGAACATTAAAATTTATTTTCACTTGTAGTAACAGAGGTGTGTATAACTTAACTTTAACTAACGTTAAGGGATTAGTTATAGTACTAACAATATAGTAATCCCTCAACATTAGTTTTGGTATAATTGTATTTTTTGTATTGTTACACAGATAGTATATTTGAATAAAACTGATCTCTTTTGAAAAAATTATATATCACATTTTTTTATTAAAAAAATAGAAATTTTGTTAATACAGATGTTTTTTGAAAGAAAGTAATTATTGAGAATTAAATTTTATTTAAAAATTACATGAAATTTTATCCTTACATCAAATTATTAAAGTAAAAGGGCTTTATTGCAGCATTCCATTGAAAAATTTATTAATAATTAACAGTGGTTTGTTGCAAATAAAATATCAGATATACAAATTTTCTTATACAGCACAAAGTCCGTAATCCGGACGTCCATTATCTGGAATGATCTATAATCCGGACCTCAAAGCCACAAACTTTTTTTTTGGTATGCTTTACACATGCACGTTTAATGCGCGCTTCCGATAGTGAAGAAAGTGACAGAGAGGTTATTGAAAACGAATAGAAAGCCATACACTATTGGTGAAGAACTTATTTTACTAGCTGAAAGTGAGGTAATATGCGCCGTATTGTACAAACCAGCTTTCGACATTATAAAACGTATTCCACTGAGTAATAGAAGGATTGACGAAATGGCTCAGTGTGTAGAAAATTCTTTATGCGAGTGCTTAAAAACATCTGAATATTGTATACAGCTTGATGAGTCCACTTTAGCAGGAAATGAAGCTTTACTTTTAGCTTATGTTAGATTTGTAAAAGAAGGAAAATTTTGCCAAGAACTGTTATTTACTAAATGTGTGGAAGCCAATACTAAAGGTGAAACATTATCTGCTAATTTAAAAGGATTTTTCGATATAAAAGCTATACCCTGGACTAATATCATTTCTGTTACTATTCATGGTGCTCTGGCAATAGTAGGAAGATACCGAGGCTTTCGGGCATACTTAAAACAAGCTGTATCAAATACATTTTCAGTATACTGTGTCATTCATCAACATCAATTAGTCTAAAAAAATCTCAGTGCATGGATCATTAGATTATGTTAATAAAATCAAAAGGAATGACTTCAGTGAGAGATTATTTACTCAACTTTCTTTGGAAAATGACAAAGACTACAATCATTAACTACTTCACATAGAAGTATGTTGGTTATCTAAAAGTGCATGTCTAAAATTTATTTTATGCGGTTATTGATTCAGTATTGGAATTCCTGGAAAGCAAAGACAATGATTTGCAACACAATTTAACTCAAAAATCACATAGTCTATATGACTGATTTATTTGCCAGATTTAACGAAACTAATTTGAAAGTACAAGGTGACTAATTCTCAGTTTCCAAATCTTTCAAAACTGCAAAATAGAGATGAAAATTTGCAACAACACCTAACGTTTCTTCATGCAGACCTGAACCAAAGATTTGAAGACATTTTTCACTTGGATATTCCCGACTGGGCTTTGAATCGTTTTGCGCATGGACAAACTCAAATCTCAAACACAGATGAATCCAGACTAAAACAGAAGTAGCTTATTGAAATATCCACAAATGAGGAACTAAAGAAAAAAAGTTTGAACAAGGATATTATGTATTCTGGTCCCAGAAACAGATCACAGTTTTATATCCAGCATTATGGGTTATTGTACAGAAGTTGGTGACTGCTTCCTGGTCTTCCTGTTTAGTAGAATGTGGATTCAGTGCCAATATGAACCTTATCACACACACACACACACACAAAAAAAAAAAAAAAAAAAAAAAGAAACACTATAAATTAGTGATCGTGGGGATTTGTGGTTGCTACTCACAAACATCGAGTTGAACATAAATACACTCCTAACATTTCATCCAAGTCATTAATTTTATTTTAAACAAGTTATAAGCAGTCCATGGGTCAAAAATGCTTGGGAACCACCAGCCAAATCCTGTGTGTACCATTACTAGGATTAAACAGTTTTTTTATATGAGAACGGGAAGGTATTTTCTTTCGTTCAATTCATACACATGCAATTCTCGAGGTTACTGGAAAACAAAGTTACTGAAAACTTGCCTTTTTAAAAGACTATCTGATTGGAGCTGGGAAAATTGGCTCTATGGCAGCTGCTCACGCAATTCCCTGACTTTTTAGTTTTCCAGGTAGAGTGGCAACCCTGTTAAATGAAGATATATAAAGAGATTTTTCATTTCAGGCCCTTTAAATGATCAAGGCTTCTTTGCTTTTTCAATCACAAAAAGTTTCATTTTATGTATTCCTCATGCATTTGCACAGCACAGCTGTAATGTGCTTTTGAAATAACTTGTGCTTGGGAATAGACTTCTCATAACATGAGTGATGTTATGAGAACTTATGTGAGCTTACTTAAACAACTTATGAAGGGTGTGCAAAATTTTCAGGAGACAATTTATCAGATGAACGTATGAGAGATTTCTGTTCGTCAAGTAAAAAGCTAACATGGAAAAGAGTCATCCATGCTATACAGAATGTTCATAGCCAGTTTTCTTCCACCTGCATGTATGCCAATAAAATCATTATGATTCATTCATAAGCAGTGCTGCCTGTGGAGTGGTCTCCAAATGATTGTGTATGGTAATGCAATGTAAAGCTATAGAAAATGGGCAATTATAACATCTGTGCTACAGCATGTATCTGATACATTTTCACCTGTTCACTGAGTGTTAATTTTCAAATTGTTCCTTAAACTCTAGTTTATTGAATAATGCTTTATATTATATTTCTTGATTGAAGAATTGCAATAATTTTCCCTAAAATATCATGAAACACACAGTAAACTATTATGCCTGCCTTTGCAAAATTTGACACATAAGTGAGACATGTACCTCCTCCATTTTTATTATTCTTGACAATACCTGACAAACTAAAATTTTTAATATCAAAATGTTTACTTATGTTGAAAGACTGGAGTTTCTTCCTTTTATAGAGTCATGTAAAATTTATATTCACAATGCCTCTTCAATCTGGAAGTAACTTCTATTTTTTTAATAATCTTCAGATTACCATAAATATTATGTGAATCATACTAAAAATACAAAACTTAAAAGATGGAAAACATTTTAACTGAAATTTTTTACTATTAAATCCAAGCAGACTTTTAAAAAAATTAAAATTCATCAAAAAGGATATTTTTATACACAGGCTTAAAAATACTACAAACATTTAAGTATAAAAGCTAAGACGTCAGTTATTGATATGCATAATACAAAAGCATTTTATTATACATGCATCTCCTTTTCCATAATCAAGTACTTTAGAGAAATAAAGTGGTGTATAATCTGTACATTTTCCTTAACAGATTTAAATATATTACAAGACTAACAAAAAAATAGGGTGCTGTCACTGCATAGGTATGACCAATTTTTTTTGTATCAAATGGCTTGTAATCCTGTAAGAAAATACCAAGATAGGTTTAAAAGTACTATTTATAACTTAAAAATTAAAATTATTATTCTGTAATTTTTTAATTTGCAATATAAATAAAATAAATTTGCATACATGAAAATATTTAAAATATCACACAAAAAATTTACCTTGGTATATGGATTTCATACATTCCTTCATTAAACTTTACAGATGCATTTAAAGGCTCTTGTAGAGAAAATATAAGGAATGCTTTTAGCTCTTCTATAACTTTTGATCTATTCTCGTCAGGAACAATAAAGCCTAAAATTTAAAAACATTTAATTAATTAAACTATTACTGAAAAGTTTTTAATTAGCAGACAAAACTTTTCGAATTATATGACAAACACATTCTTGCCATATTTATATATAAAATATCATTAATTACAGGGGGAAAAAGTTGAGAAATTCACAAAATTATAACAGTAGTAAAATATAAAAATTCTTGAATATTTCTGATAATATTTGTTTAGGCTGTTATTAGACACAGCAGAATAATTTAGCACTTAAATACATAAAGTTACTTATCGATGCTTATCATAAAAATACTAAGATTATAGATACTAGAAAAGTTGGTTCATTAATATTGGGTAATTTAATGCATTAAATATAAGTTTTTTTTACAAAGCACTCTTCATTATCCAACATCACTTTTTAAGAGATATCACATCTAAGATGACTTCATACGTAACAAATTCATATAATATTTTAAGTCACATGTCTAAATTTCAAAACGATTAATATTTTGGTTAAAAAGTAAAGCAATTATTTTGTAACTACCTGTAAATAATAATAAAAAAATTACAACTAGCAGTACAGAAGAGTTGAAAAAATTAATTTTGAAGATGTCACTAAGACAACAGTGATTTAACCAATAACTCATATATTTAAGATGAAAACCACTTTTCACTATTAATGGAAATGATATAAGTTATTCAATTAGAATTATGGTAAAAATGAATGTGGATGTGAATAATGATGATCATTTACTAAAATGCATTTTATTTTGTATTAGTCTAACAGATCTCAGGCTCACAGAACTATATAAAAACTAAGTGATTTTTTTTTAACATTTCTTTTACTGATGAGAATTTAAAAAGTAAGCTGTTACTCAAAATAATTTATATTATAATAATAAAAACTTAAACATTTATAACATTTTTTGGAGGTTTTAAGTCAACAAAAACCAATATAATATTCATAAATTTGCATGACAAGTTTCGAATGCTTAAATATAGAACCTTTTGGAAGACTTTTGCAGCTGAAGAAGGTTCTATATTTAAACCTTCAAAACTCGTCCAGTAAATTTAAGAATATTACATTGATTCTTGTTGTCTTAACACCTCCAATAATAGTTATTTGGTGGATTATTCTAACTCACATTAGAAGTTAATTCAGTTCAGCAATAATTTGAAGAATGTTACATTTGAAAATTACACTTTTATGAATTATAAATGAACACACATTCACATATATATCTACACATATGGCAGAATAATTTCAATTCTGCAAATATTTTAAAGTGAAATAAAATAAATACAAATTTTAATATGTGATTGAAATAGATTTAAAATCTTCTCATTTATCATGTAAACTAAAAAAAAAAAGTTAAGACTCCAAATATCACTTTGAGGTTAAATGTAATGTGCACTTTTACACTACTCACTTAAAATTATTTTGGCATTAGATTTCATAAAAATTCAGTTATCAATACTGCTAATGTAAACTATTTTAAATGTGTAGATTATGTTAAACACCCACCTTTTAAAGAACACAGATGAGCTTGCACTTCCAAAGACATAAACTGTTTTTCCATTTTTCTTAATCTGTCTAAATGAAGCAACTCAGAATTTCCATAGTCCACAAAAAACACTTCATAATAAGGATGAGATGTACTATCAATTACAACAGCTCTGTACCACAGATTATCTTCTAAAAATAAAAAATTATCATTCCTTGAATAATTAATAATTATTCTACAATTTCTTAACATTAAAAACTTAAATTTATGTTTGTTAATATACATGGTATACCAAAATTCTTTCTCTGATTCCAAATATCAATAAGGCATAAAATATTACACAGACAAATACTTTTTATCTTGAATGTAACATATTCAGGTTTTTGTGTACACAATTAATAAATTTCTACATGTGATTCTTTCGTTGCCTGAAGGATATCCTGGTGATATTCCAATTCTATCCATGTGTTGGTCAACATTACGTCAGGGGTGGGATATTATGACTCCAGTAATTCTGCATCATAATGCTGCAATATCGTTCACTAGTGTCCAATTTTAAAGGAAAGCATTTTGAGGAATGGGTCTGAGGGTCCCTCAACCCTATTCCATACCACCAACCTGTCGAGCTGTATATTTTGAGTGCCCCCATACTGGAAGGATATTCTATATTTACAAACATTGATGCCTTCCTTGGGATTCAGACCCTTTATCATCGTCACTAACCATTTTCCTGTCTGGACAATAGTCTCTCATAGTCAAACTGCACTACCTTGATCATTCACATGCTGCTAATCTAATTATTCATTTCCTCGGTTTCTTTCGAAGATATTTGTCGTATCACTTCGAAGTGATAATGCCTTTCACTGTATGTGCGAAATTCGATTTTATATGCAACCAAACATTTAATTGCAAAGATGATTTATTATGAATGCCCCAGTTATAATTCCATCAAAATCTTTGCAGTTTCTTTGAATTAATTTATTGCTTGGATCCCAAGAAATGGACTTCTGATCCAAGAAAACAGGTTATATGATGGATCAAACATGTTAGAAAGAGAAACTCAATAACATTTAAGACGCCTGTATTTCTTAAATAATAATAAATTTAGTAACAAAAATGATTGGCTAAAGAGGTTATTACATGTTATCGACAACTCTATGGCAACAAGCTGACTGTTTAGCCAATGATCTATCACTCTACTGTTCAGCTAGAGGAGTTCTGAGTATTTAGGAATGTTCTGAATATTCATGATCATGACACTGTCTTATGAGATGACTTTTACAAGATAGGATGGAACAGAATAATAATTATGTAAATGCACCGAATTATTGTATCATTGATGGCTAAGCAGAAATAGTTTCTGGGAGGAACTATCCAGGTTTTACATAACGCACACAGAAAAACCACAAGAAGTCAACTTATTACTAAGAAACTGGAATCCATGTTGAAATGCCAATATTCAGGGATCTTATGTATCCAATTTTATGCAAAATAATTATTATATTGCAGTATATAATAATTCTCTTAATTCATGTTTCCAAGCAACTTTTATTATTTATTGCTTTAAATTTGAAAAGTAGATTTTTGATTCAAAATTGTTTAGAACTTTCATTATTAAGCAACTGAATTTTTAAGATGTTATTTATGTATAAAAATATAGTATGAGAAAAGGTTGTGTCATGTTACTCCAACAAAACTGTATAGTTCCAAAAATGAAGTATATATTTTCATTCATGCAACATGAGAGATCATAAAAAAGGAAATAATTTAACCATAGCGTGAATTTCTTTGTAGGATTTTATTTTTTTATTTTAGGTTATTTTCTGAATTTATTAATACCATTTTTTTCCTATCATTTCTAACTTCTATAATTGTTTAATTATTTTTATATTAATATTTGGAAGGTCATCAACGAGCTCATCTCGTTATAAATTTACAACTGATGTACATATTTGTGAAGAAAGAACTCCTTAAATCACAACCGTTAAAGGATTAAAGTAACTTCCATTTTCAGAGGAAGAAAGGAAAGGAAAAGCTCTAACCAGTTTCCATTGTAATCTCTTGATGCAGTACCACTGCTCCCCCTTGTTTTTTAATCCTTTTGAGACGCCATGCCTTTGTTTCAGACATTCCATCGGGATAGAGGAGAGTCGAAAGTAATGCTCCCACAGGATAGGGGGTTTCGCATTGCTAGGCCTAACTTTACGGGGGAAAACATTAAAAGAAAGTTTAAGTTGTAATGTCATACTTTTTGGTACCATTTTAGATTATTACCTAAGCTATCATATATGTTAAAATTAACATTTAATAGTGTTTTTTTCTTTACATGAAAACATACTAAAAATTGCTTACTTTAAAAATAATTTTTGGATGAGCTATTCAAATTATTCCGAAGTTTTAATTGACAAAACACATTAACAAACTTCAAAATCAATTTTAAAAAGTTCAAGAAATACTATTTACAAGAAGTAAAATCTTTCGCGGAAGGCAAGCACTCAGAGAGTTCAACCTCTGACAAACGCCTGTATCATAATCACTAGAAATATCATTTTAGAAAATGAATCATCACGCTCATCTGTGTCATTCATTGGCTCATTTACTATGCGTATATAGCTTGATAAAAAATGCTTTCTCGCCATAATAAACTGGAGTCAAGGCTTTCCAAAACAAAAAGGGAGGAACGGGAAATATATCTGATAGCAACACAAAATGTAACAAAACTCCACACTGTAACCCTAAAAGACCCTACAAAGTCAAAGTCAATAAAAAAAAAAAAAAAAAAAAAACGGAAGGATATTATAAATGCAAATGTTTATATCATGTGCCAAGTTAAAGGGGTCAGCCCTATTTGTTTCATTTTGAATACAAGGTCAAATCTACATGCATCTCAAATCCTATGGACATGGAATGCCATCTTGTGGCAAAAGTTATAGTTTTTAAAATGTTCCAAGACACTGGCATAAATGTGTGCTGGCCAGAGGTGAACGAGAAACCACTCAGGCACACCAATGTGCTGTCCAGGAAATGACTGCTTTTCTTGCTGGCACATATGCTTGACAATCGGCATGAAAGGGTTAAAACATTCAGTGGTTTAACATTAAGATATGTAGATCTAGCATGCCGGAGGTAAAAATTTTGTAATTAAAATTTATAAATCATAAATATAAATGTATGCATTTTTGAATTTTCTTTTTCTAAAGTATTTCAGAGTCCTAACTATGAGAAAAAATACATTTTAAACATTCCATTCTTTACGAAATTAAATGCTATCACTTTTCTTGCACTCAGAACAATTTTAATTTGAATAAAATAAGTTTTTGCAAACCCCATTAGAAAGAAATTTTAAGATGATTTAGTTAATGATTACAAAAATTAAAATCAAAGTTTATTATATTATTAATATTAAAATCATCTGTTATTTCTTTTCTATTTACAGGGCAACTTTCTGAAATACTTTCTCATATACAAAATGATTTTCAGCTTTCTGAGGTATTTTTTAAATCAAAAATCATAGTCATTCTGTATTGGATACTATGTTTTGTTTATTTCAAATCAAAGCATCTTTTATTTTAATAGTTAAAATTTTGCAGCTGATTTCCATGTACTTTACTTTCTAAGAGGATTTTGGGAGGAGATTTATTAATATTCTTTAAAACTTATAACTGAATTATCATAAAATGTAAGGAAATAATTATTTTAATACTTATTATAAACTTTTTCTGAGCCTTGTATTCAATAATACGTGTTTTACTTTACTACTTCCTAAAGTATGCATCTCATATACTTCTCTTTTCAACACATTTTTCCCAATACCAACAATTCTTGCTTAAATAATTCGTTTACAATTAAATTTTAGTTATATGATATATTTAATAACTAGATTTCTTTACAGTAAAAATGACAGAAGTCTATGAATACATTTATAAGTAATTTAATAAATATTTACTTACTAATTAGAAAGAAATACATATTTCATAAAAGTATATGCATAAATACTTATATATACTTTATATATTTTTTATTTTGGGCATGTGTAAATCTATTTTCTGTGCATTCATTATATATTTCTAGTAAAGTAATTTAGCACATATCGGAATTTTTATGTTAAGAAATAAACAGATATAACTTAAATGAAAATTAGATGCATTATTTTAAATACACATTCAAAAAGCATGTTATATTTCATACAACAGTATCTGTTCCCAATAACATTGCCCCTAGCAGTAGCCAATCAGCTAAGACTGCTGAATGGTAGGAGTTCTATTCAGGTTTCATCTCAGTCGAAAATGCTGACTGTATACTAGTTAGTTTTCATGTTTTCTTCATGACTGATGTAACTATGAGTCAGTGTCCCTTAAAGAGTCCTCAATGCTGACTGTATACTAGTTAGTTTTCATGTTTTCTTCATGACTGATGTAACTATGAGTCAGTGTCCCTTAAAGAGTCCTCCTTTCCCTTAGATAGGCAGCCCTTGCATGCTTTGCTATATTTAAATACCTTATGTGCCAAATAAAGAAATATTTCAACACACATAATTTCATATTTACAGTTGCACATCAAGTTGCAAACTTTTGACATACGACATATTTCTGTATATACAGTCAAAAGTCGTTAATCCGGACTTGTCGGGACTTCACGATTCCGGATTTAGATCATCAGTTTAAATCTGGTAAGATGGCATGCAGAAATTATAAAATTAAAAATATGAAACCGTAATTTATGAAATAAAGAACAATTATGATCTAACGGGTATCAAAATTTGCAAAAAAAAAAAAAAAAAAAAAAAAAAAAGCTTAATATTTATTTGTTTACTTAATTAAACATTTCTTTCAATGTAAGTTGTTTAAGTTGCTTTGTTTTATGTGCTAATACTTTTTCTTTAATTCTGTATAAACAGACATAATTTCTTGTCCAGTTACAAAGTTCCGCTGTTCAAGTCCTGTAATTGCTGTGCCGAAAATACCGACTAACTTGTCAATCGAAATTTTTTCGTTTTCACTAACCTCTCTGTCACTTTCTTCATGCCTTTATCCATTTTTTGCAGCAATTCCACTTTTTGTTTGATGGACATCGAAACATACTTTCATTTTGTAGATCCTTTGGGAACTCCAGCATCGGAAATTCTATTTGACATAATCGGAAGTTCAAGCTTACTTTTATAAAATTGCTCTAACAGTCTGCAAAAAATAATAAGCCGGATCCAATTTGAAGATTAAGGAACAACGCAATCTGCAACATTAACTGAAATTGATAATTTTAGCTTATACCGTCCGTTATACATTTAACGCGCATGCGTAAACGTATTATGTGCATGTGCACACGTGCAGCCGTAAAGGTTTTACGCGCATGTGTAAATGCCTATGTGCATGCACAGAAAGTTTGTAGCTTTGAGGTCCGGATTATAGATCATTCCAGATTATGGGTGTCCGACTTAACGACTTTTGACTGTATTCCTCATCACATTCAAATTTTCAAGTAAATATATTTAATCTTGACCACACATGGCACTTCTGCTGAGCTGGAAAATGCTTCTGTATACGATTTTATGTAAATAGATGATTACAAATAATAAAAAAGTTAACTTATTAGCTTATCTGTCTATATATTTATTAACTTTAACAAGGTAAATGTGATTTTCCTGCTTTCCTCCCATACAAAACCACAGCCATACATGCATTACACAACTCTGAATTCTAAATACACTACATACCTTGAAAGTTTGCTATTACCATTTCATCATCTTTTGGTAGATGATTGCCATTATAAGAGGAACATGATAAATTATGGCAAAAGTCTGTTATGGCAGTTATTAATTCAGAACTTGCTGTCAAATCTGAAAAATGTACATAATCTTAGATGATGATATATTTGAATGGGCTACATTATCAAAATTTATAATGTGTATTCATGAAAATAGGCTGAAACTGAATAATAATACATCTGTTTACAAACATGCACAGTTAGCAACTTACTTTGGATATTATATGGACTACAAAATATGGCATTACAATCTCCAATAGTATATATGGCCACTTCCTGCTCTCCAATAGAAAACTCGGCAAATCTGCATTCACTAAATAAGAACTTTTCATCATTCTGTACACTGCACTCAGCATTTTTTATACATGCCAAATTAGGAGCACTGGTTAGAGGTTCCTAAAAAATTTTACCAATGTTTAAGCGCCAAAATTTCAAAATATAATCAGCAAAACAAACACAATCTGCTAACTAATTAAAGACTATAAATAAACTATATTTTACTAACTTATATAAATGTTATTATATAAATGTTATCCAAGAATTATATAAATATATTATTATATAAATGTTATTCAACACCGGGTTTCTGCCTTACAAATAATTTGCATGTTCTTTTCAACATTGCATTGTAATGTCTTCGGCAGTACCTAATTTCACTACAATGTCCTGATGAAAATTAGCATTATACAATAATCCAGTTTAACTGCCACATGATTTAATTTTTCAAAACTATTTCAACATTTCAAAAAAGAGGTTCATAAGAATCGAAGAAAGTCTATAAAATTTGAAACATTATAAAGGAACATGTTTGGTCATGTATATTTTGCTTTAGGTTCATTAAAAAAATTGACTTCTTGTCACAAGTAAAAGGAAAGTATAACTGTGCATAAAACAGCTATTTCCAGAAGTAAGATGCCCATTTTAGCAGACATACCAACATGCCTGAAATATTTGCAATTAAGTTTTAGATTGCTGTTGACAAGAGCTGAAAACATGCACTAAGTGCTTTCCTATATTTAGAAAAGGATAACAACAGACTAGAAAACTTAATCACTTTTAAAATTTATTTACTTCACATGGAACCATTTAGAAGTAAATGAAAGAATGATACCACTGATACCTTTTTATTCCTTTCTCCTCCCCCTTCCGATATGGTCTTGCTGATAAACAAAGTTAAGAAACTTTAGCTTAATCAGCACAATGAAATATTAAAGGTGAAAATTCCTAATCTTTGAAATATTCCAATCACCCCCTTTAATTAACTTCTGCTTATAAACATTATTGATAGCACTTTGAGTTATCTGTGCAAGGACAACAAAAGTATATTAGTTCTAAGCAACCTTCACCAAACTGTTGATATTACAGATGATGCAAAAAAATATCACATATAACAAACTACCTGTAACAAACACAAACTATTCATTAAAAGCTAGAAGTCACAGATGGACAATATATATATTCAATAATAGCTGCAATCAACTCCTGTACAAAGAAATTTTGAGAAACACAATTCCTAGGATTTCAATGAATACATATCCATATGACTATCAAATGCATGCCACACTCTGTTCAATACTTTCTGATGAGAAATCAAAATTTCCACATACAGTGCCAAACTGGAAAATGCAATAAAAACAAAACTGTAACAAATGTAAAAGTTCAGTCAGCGAAAATGCAGACAACAGTAATGTGACATAACTTATTGACTCTAGCACATGAAAGAAAAAATGCTACTTAGAACTTGATCAAGACAATTTTTTAATAAGAAAAAGAAAAATAGAAAGTTTCAGAAATATCTTTTCTCTTAAGGCAAAACTGCACAATTTTAAATGCTCCATTTCAAATTACTATAATTATTAAATTTTATTTTCTCCCCATTAACTATGCCAAATTTCATGCACTTAAGTCATTAAGTTACTAGTACCAACATTACTTTTATTTAATCTTATTACATATGCTCAAGAAGATATTATATCAAAACATATGGATACGTTGGTGAGAAACTATTCTAAATTTAATGTGAAGCTACTGTATCGAAACATCTTAAAACTTTGAATTAGAAAGCAAATCTTATTTTCCTAGTGTTAAATATTTTACACTAGTTGTTAATAATAATAGTTAGCATGAACTTATCTTCCTGAATGAAAGTGAGCAATTGTCACCCTTAAAATATGAAAAATGGGGAGTTTCCATTCGGTTTTGCATTGTGCAGTGATGCTATTTCAAAAATACTCTAGACTTAAATTCACTTTATAATGCATGGTTCAAATTATTAAACTAATAATATTATTAAACTATAATTCTGATGCAAAAAATACTAATACTTAATAGGTACTCTAAATTTTATTTTCAGGTAATTTAATTTTATTTCTTACACTTTATACTGAAAATATTCTGAGTAGGGAATGAAAGCTTTAAAACAATAAATAAAATTAATAATTAGTACACATGAGGATAAACTTTGTAATAAACCACATAATAGTTTAAAACAAAATTAATACAAATTAATGTATTAAACTATGTATTAAAGATTATCTTCACAAAACATTCTATAAATGTCTATGGTATATTAGGATAATTCAATTCAATAAAATTTAAGGAAATTACACTGAAAATCAGTACAAATGAAGGAATGCTCAGTAGAGGTTTTTATTAATTCAATAAACTGCATTTATTATTGGGAAACATTTTCCATTGTAGTCTTCATTAATAAATGTTACAAATTAAAAACTGGGAGATTCAGTGATCTGTTGGAAGATGTGATGTCACATTCTTGCCACTAGGTGGCGGGCATCTCTTCCTTTACTTTTGCTGTAATTAAGTTCCGAGAACCAGTGGAGATTGGAACCGCTCTGAGGAGCGTAAAGACTCAGAACTAAAAATGTACTGTCTTAAAATAATTATCACCTACCTTGTAAATAGTGTATATTAGCTTTTTATTTCAATAAATAATTAAAAGACAAGATGGCTTGTTAGCAGTAATAGAAACTCTTACTGAAAACATGATTATTAGAAGCCTGGCGTCGTGAACACTGAAGATGCAGCAGGTAAGGAATTTTACATTAATTTTATTGTAAATAGAAGAACCTGATGCAACATGTGATGAAAAACCAAGACCTTGCATGATCAGAGAGCTGTAAGGTTTTCAGCGCCTGGGGACAACTGAAGATCTCGCAATTTCCTCTTGCTTACCACAAGGGGAAAACATGTCATTCTAAACATTCGTAACATCAGTTTGCCATGCACACAAATATCCCCTTGCCCCCTTCCAGCTACGCCCCTGCATAATCAGAGAGCTGACAGCTCTATGAAACAGGAAGATAATTTTTTATATAAAAATATTTTTGTTCCTTTTAGTCCCAGATGTATATCATAATGCCATACTGATCGAAACTAATCCTATATTTTTTAAACTATTAAAAAAAAAGGACAGTTTACACATAAGATAACCTTCACATAAACTTTGATATAGCTAAGAATTTTAAGTCATTTAAAATACCATATCATGCAGTAAATCTAAATAAATAAATTTTTATCACATAAATATTCAATGATAAGGAATAAATTATTTAAACATATTTAGTGATAAATTGTTTAAACAAATAAAATTAGAATACTTTACAGAAGGGCATTTTAAAGAGAAAGTGGCAAAGTGTCATATTTGGGTTTCTCTCTTCTGTCATTTACCAAGCAAAAAATACTGGGATAAAGCAGCAAATACAGTGCTAAGTCCAAGATCCATATCATTGGGACTTTGATAAATCTGGATTTGGGATTTTTCTGTATATTAAATCATCAGTTTAAATTTAGTAAGACGACATGTAGAAATTGAAGAAATATGAAAATAGTGATTTTTGAAATAATGAAGCATTTAAGACCTTAAAAGATTAAAAATTTACTCCCCCTCCCCCCCCAAAAAAAAGTTTATTTGTTTTATTAATAATTTCTTTCCATATAATTTGTTTAATTTAATTTTTAACATAAGTTGTTCAATTTGCTTCGATTTTTGCTCCAATACTTTCTCTTTAGTTATATAGATAGACATAATTTCTTGTTCAGTTACAAATTCCATTGTTCAAGTTCTACAAGTGCCAAGTCAAGAATTCCCACTAAATTGTCAATTGAAATATTTTCACTCAAAACAACCTCTCTGTCACTTTTTTCGCCAACTAACAGCAATATTTTCTGGATTTAGAACTGTACTGCAGATTTTGCCATTCATTAGTTGACTGATGATTGGGGAATTGTCATTGCAAAGGAAAACTTCTGTTGTATCATTCTTCACTTATTACTATTTCTCCATAAATTTTATTAATTGAAAAATTTTCCTTTTTATTTGTGACATGTGAAAAAACTTCATATTTGCGGCTATCATAAAAACTAGCGTTTGCTATACACTACTAGTAATGTAGCATGAGATTAGCAACTAAAGGCATGTTATTTGGCTAACTTTTGTTTTTCTTCTAATGCACACTGACGGAATTAAACTTGAATTACATTAATTTAGTTATTTATAATATTTATAACTAGATACCACTTATGCAAATCCTGCATAAATAAATTCTCACACATACTTAAGGTTTATTCAGGGCCAGCACTAGACATTTTGCGACTTGGTGCACTCTCTGTGGGGCCAAAATTCTGCTGCCATATATCTCCCTACATTGTAAAAAATTTTCTGACCCTAAATTGTGAACCCAGTGCTGTTGAGAATCGAGCATTTAATTGATGTTATGTGCAGTTTCAGTGGCATCATTGTTTTGTTGTATTATTATGTTTTATGCATCTGGCATCACTATTATTTTCGTCATTCTAAAAGTTTAATTTAAACAATAAGACATAGGTAAGTTCTCTTTACCTTTTTTGTTAATTAAGTACAAAAATTCAGTTAGCCATCACTTTGCTTGTTAATTTTATAACAAGTGCCTTTCCTGAATTCTAAAAATTTTGCCATCCTTTAATTTTGTTGCTCAGTACTCTATAAATTCTAAATATTTTGCATTCCCTAAATCCTGCTATACCAGCTCTAGCAGTGGTCCTGGGCTTAATAACAAATCAGTTATTCTAAATTCAAACAGCAAAAAATATAATCCTTTGGCCTATGACTATCATTTACAAAACGTATTTTTTTCATATGGAAAGAAATTTCTCCTCATCAATGCCCTTAACAGTTCACAGCGGAATCAGCTGAAGTCTATAATCATCATCAAGCTTAATGTCATCATAAAAGTTATGCTCTTTGGTTTCCAAAAACTAATACAAAAATAGTAATAAAAAATCTTAAATTTTTCAGATTTTATATTATGCACAAAGGGCTGTTTTTTTACATGTTACAAAAGCATTTGGGATAAAAATATTTAAAAACAGCATACCTTTAGAATTTCCAATAGACACTTTCATGCACTAGAGATTTAAAAAAAAAAAAAAAAAAAAAAAAAAAAAATCCCATACAGTGTGTTGCCGCTGCTCGCTTTGAAATTGCAGAGTTTCTCAATAATTCGTTAAAATTAAAAAAATATTTAATGAAACAAATTCTAAATTCAAGATCCGGGCTTCCAAGTGCCCATGTTCATGTGGAGGACTACATTATTCAAAATTTGATGACTCTAGATATTGTTGTTTTTCCAAAATGCGAGAAACATATATGCAGATTCTTTATTATTATTTTTTTTTAATATAATATACGATGATAATATTTGGTGGCCTCCAACCATTTGAAAAGTGATACAGCCATTTCTAGTGATTCAATGCAAAATGCTGTTTTGAGACTAATAGCCCTTTTGGGCTAATAATAATAAATGCTTAGGCATGCGTTATTTCTCAAGCTGCAGTTTGAGAATTTGAAAGTTGGAGTTTGAAAATTTAAAAAATATTTAATGAAACAAATTCTAAATTCAAGATCCGGGCTTCCAAGTGCCCATGTTCATGTGGAGGATTACATTATTCAAAATTTGATGACTCTAGATATTGTTGTTTTTCCAAAATGCGAGAAAAATATATGCAGATTCTTTATTATTTAATTTTTTTTAATATAATATACGATGATAATATTTGGTGGCCTCCAACCATTTGAAAAGTGATACAGCCATTTCTAGTGATTCAATGCAAAATGCTGTTTTGAGACTAATAGCCCTTTTGGGCTAATAATAATAAATGCTTAGACATGCGTTATTTCTCAAGCTGCAGTTTGTTGATACTCATGCGATGGTGAAAGCAAAAAATAATAAATAATGATTTGCCAGGCTGGCATCAGAGCTGAAGTGAAATTAAGAACCTGGATTCTTTACATGTTTAATTATGAAAAATATCAAATGCACAAGCGTAAACCATTTTAAAAAAAGGTTGCTAGTAATCCGGAGGTCTGGATTTTAGATTGTTCTTGATATTGGACATTCAAATTTTAGACTTTGTACCACTATTTAATATAAAAATCTGTTTTTATATGAATAAAATACAGTAAAGTATTATAAAATGGGATTCTAAGATTTTTTTTTAAAAAAAGAATGCTCGGATTTCGAAATTTGCACCAAGATTTAATATGAAAAGTCTGTTTTTACATGAATCAAATACAGTTAGAATACTTATAGATGGGGTTGAAAGATTTTTCTTTAAAAAAAAAAAAAAGCAAAAAAAAGGAAAGATAAAAAAAAAAAAAAAAAAATTAGATTCAACCTCTCATATTACATAATAATCAGCATAATTTTAAAATTAATTTAAAGAAAGAAACATAAAAACATTGTAAGTTATACCTTTTCAATTTTTTCTGTTTTCTCTTCTGATGAAGTAATTAAATGGATATCTTGCACATCACAATTTGGTTCATTTTCAGCTAATACTGAATATATTTTCTTCAGTTCTAGAGGCTTACTGATGGACATCTTATCCAAAACATTTACAGGAATACATAGTGTAGGGTAAGCAGCATAAATATCCAAAAAGCACTCCAAATTTTCTTTTAATACTACTTCTCTTTTGCCAAAATCTACAAAAAAGATTTTATAGGTGTCTTCAGAAATAATTTCTTCGACACAGCCACGATACCATTCATTGGTGATACCAGATTTCGCACAAACAATTTCACCAATGATAAGTTTATGTGTGACAGTTTTTCTGGCTGAGGATTTCTGTAATTCCTTTTGTACTTCAAGTATTAATTCACAATCAGAAGAATCTTGCAAAAACGCTAAATCTTTATCTATATGACTAAATGTAACTTTTTGAGGTACATGAATAGGAAGTTTTCTTCGCTTCAGAGAGGTTAACATATATGGTTGAAAAACTGTGACAACAGGAACTGGTCCTTTTGTTTTACAAGAAAGTTCTAAGATATACTGTTTCCCAAAACAAAGAGGATTTTTTAAAGAATCTGTGTTTTCTAACACAATTTTAATTGAAAATGCTGGATAAACAGTGCATTCTTTTGGTAAGTAACACATATCAGAAAGCATAATATCTTCAGTAAAACCTAAATCAATCAAGTAAACTTTAAAAACACCAATAACTGAGTTGACATCAATGACACAGCCACGCTGCCATGTATTATCTTTACATTTTACTAACAGTACTTCATCAATAGAAGGAACAAGATGAACATTTTCTTTTGTTGAATTCTGTATTAACAAATTCATTTCATCGTGTTTCTTAAGCATGCAAGACTTCTTAAAATAATGAAATTCCCCATCAAAGTTTTGGAAGATGACTTCACAAGTTCCTTCTGATGATAAATGATCTTTATTCAAAGATGAAAACAAAATTTGAGGATATTTATCTCTAGAATAGACATCAACAATTTGAATATTTTGCTCTGACTCCTCAACAACAACAACAGGAAATGTACTTATGTTTGCTGTTAGGTTTTCTATCACAGCAGTCATATCACGAAACTGAACTGGAATAGAAAATATGGGATATGATGCAAGTTCTGTTGGAAGAACTTTGATTTCATTTAAAGACACTGTTTCTGAATTTCCATAATCTAGGAAAAAAACTTTACTCGTCTTTTCATGTTTACTAATTTCCTGAATTGAAGCTCTGTACCAAAAACTATCAGAACACTTTGCACATACAACATCTCCAACTTCTAAGTTCTGGGATATATCTTCAAATTCTATGGCATTTTCTAATTTACTGGTCAATTCCTGAATTTTACCTTGATCTGAAGCTAACTGAACATAACACATGGAATCACTCTCCATAGAGCAGACTGTAATATTGGATGAATTATCTCTGGCCAATACATGCTTTTGTAGTGTTGATACTTTAGGTAAATTTAATGAGGCAGGAACTGTTTGTAATACCGATACTTTAGACAAATTTGATGGCACAGGAACTATTTCAACAAGCTGAAGTTTATCTAATATACCAACTGCTTTGACAGATGTCACATTACTTAAAATCCAAGAATGTGAAAGTCCTTTAAGATCTTTAATTTTCAATGGTATACAAAATATAGGATACTTACACATTTCATCACATATATGCCTCATGTTTTCCTGATCAACTACTTCAGTATTTCCAAAATCAATAAAGGTTACTTTATGAATGTCTTTTCCAATGTTAACCTGAGATATAGATGCTCGATACCAAGCACCATCAACACTTTTAGCACAAACAACACTACCAACAGACGGAGTAAAAGAAATACGTTTACACTCAGAAACATCTTGCAGCTTCTCAGACATTAATTTTAACCTTTCAAAATCAGATACAAGATGACAGTAATATACATCCTTTTCAATATGGCAAAATGCAACAACATTAACTCCATCCTTTAAGCACTGTTTCTCAAAAGAGAAAATATGTGGAAATTTAATTGGTTTTGATGTGGGTATTTTTATCTCTGGAATGTTCTCCTTTTCTCCAATTTTCTCTACCAAATATGGAACATCCATTTTTAATGTATGTTGGGCAAAATCTTTCAAAATAACAGGAATACAGTATACAGGATAAGCTAACAATTCATCTGGCAATTCTCTCAAATCATTAAAAGAAACTTCTTCAGAATTTCCATAATCAATAAAATTAACTTTACAAATACCAGACTCCAAAACTTCTTCAACACAAACACGATACCATAAACCATCAGTGAACAACCCACAATATATCTTGTTAACACCAGGTTTATTAGATATCGAAGATTTAGAAATAGAATTCAATTTTTCACTAAGTTCTTGAATAGATTCTAAATCTGATACAAGCTGTACATATACCTTTTCTTCATCTGCATGACAAATTACAACTTCAGAAACTTTTGGATATAATTTTCTAAACTGAAGCGAACTTCGATCTTTACCACTTGTTTTAATACATATAAAATCAGTTAATGAACGATCTTCTTGATAAACCATAACATTAATAGGAATAGTATCTGCATTTATTACTTCCATATCCCAGCATTCATTTAGCAATTTAGTAAGTAATTGTCGTGTTAAATCCTTATTTTTTATTTCATGTAACGAAACACAAATACTGAACTTTGGACAAGCAAATTTCTGAGGTAAAGGATATATATCAAAATCGGGAATTAAATCTTCATTACCGAAATCAACAAAGAATACAAGGAATTTATCTCCATTTTTGTTTTTCACTACGCCACGATACCAGTTTCCATCTTGAGCAAATTTACAGCACACTATTTCACCTTTTTGAGGCAAATATTTACTCATTTTAACAGAACTGCAGTATTCATTCAATTCCTTGGTTAAGGCAGTTATAGCATCATCATCACTTACCAATTGAACAAAAAGTTCTGAGGCTGTATTGATCCATACAATTTTTACTTCATATCTACAACCAGCAGATACTGATTTTTCTGGAAGATTTTTGATTCTTGATACAGAATGAGGAGACTTAGTACATTGAAGTGTTCTGTTTTCTTCAACTTCTTTTGGTATTGAGGTATTTTTTAAGGGACCAACAGTAGACAATGGAGACTTTACCTGTACTCCTTTTGGGCTTTCCTTTGAAGAGATATTTAATGGACTTTCAGAACACTTCACAACTTTTTCTTGCACATCTGACTTATTTCTTGGGGGGTGTTCAGATGGATTAATATTTCTTCTAGCACTATTATCTTCCGAATTGCTAATGTTAACAGACTCTCTTACAGAATCTACAATATGATACCAAGGAAAACAAAGCATGGAATGATGCTCACCTCCACAAGAGAATGACATTTCAATGACATCTTTGTTCACACTTCTCACAAGAAGTTCATGCTCCTTTGAAAAATACATTACAAAATCACTATCAGACAAGGAATTTGGTTTTTTGAGGCATACAATGTAGGTGCATTTTTTAAATAAGTCTGGAGGTAAAGAACGTAATTCAGTAACTTCTTCTTCATTACCATAATCAATATATTGAACAAGAAAACTGTTTTTCATTCGTTTCAAAACAATACAGCGATAATATTGCTTGTAATTAGGTGAAAATGCAGCACACATATCTCCTTCTTCAACACTAAAAAAGTTTTACAAAAATAAATAAAATTATTAATCAGTATGACTAAATTTCACTTATTTCATAGAAAACAAATAAAATGTGTTTTAATTTAATAGAATAGAACATATAAGTGTAATTTAGAAGACAAAATTTAATTTTCAATCATAATGAATATAAATCTACAACTATAGCTTCAAAATCAGGAAAGATAAAATTTTACTTGTTATTATTATTACTTAGTAATAAAAGAGGCAAGACATTTCAGCAGTTTAATATACTGCAACAACAGAGATATTAGGGGAGATTCAAAAATAAGGTTTTAATATTCAAAAGAATGTATAATTTAACTTAAGTGATACTGGTTTATATGTAAAACATCTTCCACTGTAACACAATATCATATATGACATGAATATGTTCTATTTAAAGATAAATATATGATCTACATATCATACCTTCATGAAATACTAAAGTGTAAGTACCAAACAACACAGCAAAACAGCAAACAGAGTTAGAAAATAATATATGATAGACGTTACAGAGAATTATAAGAAGTTAACATGACTTGAGAAAGTTTAGGGGGGAAAAGTAAACTTTTCAGTATTTAAACAGTTTGGGAAAATTAATAGTCAATAGCAAGATTTGATCCCAGACTTGATGATCACAAGTCTAATGTGTTGACCACTAAGTCAGATAGTACACAGATATTACATGTATTTATTTATTTATTATTATAACTTTTTAAACAAACATGCAACACTAAAGATAAAAGTGAAGAGAAAAGAGTTTAAGATTAATAGGCTCCTAGATCACATAGTTATCAAATCAGAATGTAGCGATGTACTGCTAAACACGAAGAAATATCCATTGCTGAATTTAATCTACATGAATTAATATGAAAATAATGTTGAATAGACTGATAATAATACAAGATGATTGAATGTGAAGAATTGATTAGGCAGCACTTCTGGAGTTGATTTTAAGCAATTCTATGGAACTGTAGTGGGAGCTGCAATAATGGCATCCATCACTGCTGAAATGTGGGCTGAAGTTTAATGCCCATGGCATTGCCTTTCTGGATGGCAGGAAGATGCCGTACTCCCGGCCAATCAGTGATCTTGGTCTTTTAATAGAGCTAAGAAGGATATAATTTTAATAGAGCTGAAGCATCATCGGCAGGGATAATTTGGAGTGCACAATTATCAATCCGATCAATTTTGGAGAGTAAATTTTAACGTCTTTTCATTGAGATGTATGCATTTAATGTTAAGATCCAACTTAATCACATCACTATGGATGTACCACGATAAATTAACCCTTTGATGTGTGCAATATTATTTTTATAATTTTTTAACTAAAAAACTCTAGAAATCGAATATCATGATCCTAGAGATAATATATGAATTTTAAAAAATAATCTACTTTTGCCCATTGATCTGTGGGAGGTAGTCACACTGTCAAACCAGGGCATGAAACTTACCGAGGTAGTAGCCTCCTCCCCCCTCCCCCCCAAAAAACTTTTCCTGTGCACATTTCTAATAAATGAAGAAATTTGAGAATTTTTAAAAAAATGTTTAAGATATGCATTATATGTAAATTTTACAGAGTAAATTGTCAGAAAAAATGAAAAAATAAACATCCATGTAATTTTTCTATAGCAGTGAAAACATAAGAACGTACATAACATGGACGTTTGGATAAATGGATTTAAAAAAACTCAATTAAGTAACAATAAAAAACCTCAGAGGCTTTTTTTTTTCCTTAATGTCAAAGAAAAAAAGTTTCTCCCCCCTCCAAAACTGTGTTTTGTCTTTCTGGTACATGCACAGACCAAAATCGCAAATTTCGCATGCCTATCTTGTTCCATGAGGTTTCTACCTTGTTCTACAAAATGTACACTGCCGGGATTTGCATTTTATTGGCATATGTCTAGTCTCTTTTCATCTGGCACATGAAGTTTGTGGTTTTTCATGTTAATGGGAGGGGGCTTGGTTTTTTTTTTCTTTCATATTTATTTTATTCGTATTCCATCTGAAAATACTTATAAAATATTTTTAATTTAATTAAAACTTACAATTTATATTTTTTTATTTAAACTAGACAAAATAATTTATAAAATCACAATACTAGAATAGGAAGCAAGCTCAGAGAAAAATCTCTCAAAAAGTTCCAAATTTCCATTCAATTATTCTGCTCTTCTGGCATGTTTATTCACAAAATTTATAAACTATTAACATACAAAAATACTAATTCATTATCTGAACACCATGGAATATATCAAAATGTGTAATTATTCTTTGTTTTGACACTGTGGATGACAACAATTTCTAAAGTAATTTATAATGGAATCCTAAGTTTTAAAACTTTCACTTTTGAAAACACGCAAGATGTTAATTCAGAAGTCAAACAACAAAAATCAGCGTAATTTACAAAATTAACGCTGATTTTTGTTGTTTGACTTCTGAATTAGTATTTATTCGGCGTGTTATTGTGTCTTAATTACGCAAGATGTTATTTTTATACAGTACAAAGTCCGTAATCCAGACTCGTCGGGACTTCGATTCCAGATTAGGGGTTTTCCGGATTATAGATTATCAATTTAAATCTGAAGGGTATCAAAATTTACAAGAAAAAAAGCTTAATATTTATTTGTTTACTTTAGTAAACATTTCTATAATTGTAAGTTGTTCAAGTTGCTTCATTTTTCGTGCTAATACTTTCTCTTTAATTCTTTAAACAGACATAATTTCTTGTTCAGTTACAAAGTTCCACTGTTCAAGTCCTGTAATTGCTATGTCAAGAATACCAACTAACTTGTTAATCAAAATTTTTTTGTTTTCAATAACGCTTTCAGTTATTTTCTTCACCATCGGAAATGCGCATGGGTAAATGCTTTACTGGCTTTACGTGCATGCGTTGCAAACATGCACGCACATAAGTTTGTGACTTTGAGGTTTGTATTACAGATCATTCTGGATAATGGACGTCCAGATTACGGACTTTGTACTGTATATTTTTAAAATTGTGAATTTTGAGATTTCAATATTAAAAAGCCATAGGATGTTATAAGCTTTATTACTGTGATTTAGTTTTATGATTCTGTGAACTATTTTGATGTTAATTTTAATATAATATGAGGTGAAACTATTTTAAAGCATGAGTTCTCTCCTTAGTTATTATTCCTAATATCAGCATCTTTATTAATATGATTCAGAAAGGTGAAGAGGAAAAAAAATGGTTGGGGGGGGGGGGGGAAGAAGAGGGACGAAGAGGAAAAAAATGTGTGTGGCATGGACATGTAGCAGCAGATGCTGGCATTCCAAAAATAATAAAGACCCACTTTCTTATTTAATAAAAAAAAAGTTTTCAAAAAAAGAACTTAAATAATACATTTGTTTTTAATTAATAATATTTCAAATGTTTTGGCTCTGCTCCAACCCCCATTCTGAACTGTTAAAAAAATAATTGAAACTTTGATACTTGTTGAGAATACAAAAAATATTAACCATAAAAAATTATTCTGTTTAAAAATATGCATATATATGAAAGAAAATGAAAATAAATTGAGATTTGATTTTAAGCCACTACAACTGATAAATGTTTAAATTTCCAATGTTTTAAAAAATGAGAGTAATCAAAACCAATCGGAGAGATCATTCAGCACTCAAAATATGTTAGTTCTCTCTGTATCCTCAATAAGTTAACATCAACACTGAGCAGTCAAAAAAATTTGGTTCTCTCTGTGTCCTTTTTTCTATAACAAAACTGAAAATCCTCTTGCATTGTGCATTACTATGAAGAATAGTCATGATGGCCAACATTATTCTAGACAGTTTACTATACTTTAAAATTCCCCACTGGGTGTCAATCCAAGCTGATTTTATAACTTTATCCAAGTTTTCTAATTGTAAACTGCAAAATTGTGACTCTAATTTATCAGCAGCAATATCAATATTATTATCTTTCACAACTAAATGAAATAAAACTGTAAATCTATTAAAAACTATATATCTTATATCACAAAAAGGTGCATTTACTGGAGAAGAAATATCTGCAACTTTAACATTTAAAATCATTTCATTGTTGATTGGAAATTTATCAGCAGAAGTAACTTCTAATATGAAAATGAAACTTATTTTCGTCTCCCTCTGAAAGTTCTACTATTTTTTTAGTTGAAGTCCCTATTACCAAATCTTCATCTTTCTTCTGATTTTCTATTTCAGCATAAATAACATCATATATAGAAGTAAAACCAAAGATTTGTTTATGATAAAATGTCTTTAAACAGATCATATTTGTATATTATTCATTGTAAAACATGACTTAATAGAAATTTTGCTTTGTAGAACTGTGTTTTGAACATCAAATGATGGCAAAATGAATAGTACAAAAAAGTAAAAAGCAAACGTTAAGGTCCGAAGACAAAAACATAAATATTGATTCTTCACAGGATAAACTTACAGTAATTAGAAAATGTTTCCCTTGTTTAGCAATTTTTTATTTTGAGAGAAATTAGAAAAATTTGTATCAGCTTTAAGCTTATATTTTGTAATGTTATTCTAAGAACTTACTTTTCTTAAACCTATTTTTAACAATGGAAGTAGTAACTATATCTCCATTTACTTTCGGTATTTTATAATTTTCAATAAAGCCTTTTATCTTAACTCTAGAAGCATTTACTTCTTTAAAAAATGCAAGAAGTGGGTTCCATTGTTCAAGGATTCTATACATTTTTTCCTTCCTTTTAGAACTTCGCTCAAGATAAAAATAATTATCAACAATATGTTCATTCACACTTATTGGTAAAAAAAAGCTGCCGCTTTTTCAGCTGCTGAATTTAAGAGGTGACAGGTGTACCTTGCAATTTCCAAATGCGAATTTTCCTTCCCTCCCCTTTTTTTTAAGATGCCTGCAACACCAGTCTTCAAGCCTACAATTAATTGTGCATTATTAGCACCAAATCCTAAGCAGTTATGCAGAAAAATTGCATTTTCATTTAAAGTTTTAATAATTACCTG